TAGTTAATATTATAAGTAAATAAATAATCTTAAAAAATTATTATTACAGGCAATAATTAAATTATTTAAGTAAAATATGAAAATAAAATTTAAAAATACNTATCAAATTACGAATAAGGACATGAATAGATTTACTTAATAGTTAATATTATAAGTAAATAAATAATCTTAAAAAATTATTATTACAGGCAATAATTAAATTATTTAAGTAAAATATGAAAATAAAATTTAAAAATACTTAATTCTTTTAATATAAATTAAATATATTAAAAATCATTCAACAAATATAAAAGCATTCACCCCTAAAGTCACTATATATTAGAAAGCTATCCTAAAAATAATAAGAAATATTTATACATTAATATCCTAAGTATTAGGTTTAACGGTTATTTTGGTATATACTATATTTTGTTAAGGGTATTTTTGGTAAAAAGAAAAGTCAAAACTGTTTCTGCTTCTGCTTTTGGGAGGAAGCTACTTTTTTCTGCTTCTCAGAAATTGCTTCTGCTTCTTCCCAAAAGCACTTTTTTCCCAAAAAAAAAGCTTGGCCAAACACCTCAAGTTAGGGAAAAAAGTGCTTTTGAGAAAAAAAGCACTTTTGGCCTCTTGAGAAGCTTGGCTAAAGAGGCTATTAGAGTGATCATTGTTGGGGTTTTCTCTATTTCTCTTGGATAGTCTGGGATAATTAAAGTTTTTACTCTATTTTACACACATTTGATATAGTGAATTTGCTCCGTTGTTCATGAACGTAGGTCAAATTGACTGAACCATGTGACTTCGTTGTCTCCTTATTGTCCTTGTTATCATTATTAAATGATTATTTTGGTAAATTCCGCAATATCCTGGCTATTGATCCTTACAGGAATCACATCTTTTTAACCTTCAATTGTATTTAGAGATAAAAGTAGTTAAAATGTGATACAAGTGAAGAATAACTATTTGCTTTGCAAATTTGAAGTTTCCAGTATGCTACTGTGTTGTTTCTGGAATGACATGATGCAGTTCATTAAGGGATTGGAAAATCGAAATACCGTTGTATTAAGACTTACATGTAGTTAGTTTCTCTTCGAAGAAAAAGTTATCCGAATCACATTTTATTCAAGTTTAATTTGATTTAGAGACAAAATTGGCAATAAATTGTAAAGAGAAGGATAACAATTTGTTTTGCAGAAGTTAAGATTCCAAATTGGTCTAGAACGACATGATGCAGTTCACTGGGGATTGGAGAATCGGGGAAACATTATGTTGTATTTATGTATGTCTGTGGCTTGCTCTTCGTATCTGTCAATATATTTGCTTTTTTCGTTGATTTGTTCTGTTCTAGTCTTTTTTGAAGAATTCTTTACAGTTCATAGCTTTGTTTATTTATTCTTTCAACAAATATTTTATAACTTTGTTAATACATTGGTTCTATTATAAGGGCAACCCGGTGCACAAAGCATCCCGCATTCGTGCAGGGTCCGGGGTAGGGCTGCTTATCGGGCGGATTGGGCGGTTAATTACTCTTAACGGTTATTGGCTTTGAAATGTATTAATACGCTAGCCACCCGATAAGATATCGGGCGGATTGGTATCGGTTTAGCTCTTATCGGGCGGTTTATCGGCCTAATTCAATCTATATTGCGTGCATTAATTATTTGATGACCGCCTAGCATACAAATTCAGAATAAGAAATTACACATTGAGTCCAGACATACATGTTTGTTAACGCCTACATAAGAATGATGTAGTGTGTCATGTGTTGTAGAGTGAAAAAAGTTGTGGCACAGCACTGTTGTTCTTCTATTAAACATAGACATCAGGCATTAGTTTAAAAAAACAAAAGCAGAGGTGAACCATAGACAGCAGCTTAAACAATCTTGTTGTAGGGTGGGAGAATAAGCTAAGCTAAGCCAAGCCTGGGATCTTTTGATGCGTAGTACGTAAGGGTTCTGATTATTTAGGAATTAAGCGTTAGAACTTAGAGATAGAGTACTGGAAGAAGTGGAAGGATTTTTTATATTTAATATATATATGGATAAAAATAAATATATATATATATATATATATATATATATATTCTTAACGGGTTAACGGATTATCCGTTAAGAAAATTGAATAATCCTCCCCCAAACCGATAAGCCGTTAATAAAAAAAATTCAATCCGTTCCCCGTCCGTTAACCCGATACCAATAAGCCATTAAGCTTCGGTTTCGGTTCGGTTTTTGGTTTCGGTTCAGTTTTGAACACCCCTAGTCCGGGGAAGGGCCGCACCCCTAGGGGTGTATAATGTAGACAGCCTACCCTATATTGGTTCTATTATCTTCTGCAAAATGTTTACCCAGTTATGAAGTGTGCCTATGTTGCAGAGTAACTATATCAATGCATATATGACCCGTTATGTGCTTGAATACACATATATGTTTAATTTTGTTGGTTTGACTTTTCTACATCAAAAACTTTATTTTTTGTAGTAGAACATACTGTATTAGAATTTTAAAATGAACAGTGTTATCTCACTTCCTTGGCTGGTAAACTTTTTTGTGTATTGTTAGGCCTAGGTTCTTTGGTCTATGTAGTGGTATTTCATAGCTGCTTGTTTGGTATGCAGTGAGGAAGAAGCAAAAAAGAAGATTTACTCTGTTTGTACAACCACATACACAGGGTTTGGTGCTTTGATTTCTGAAGAGCTTTCCTACAAAGTTAAAGGTATATGGTTTTCTTTGCTTGTCATTTAAAGTGTCTTGCTCTTTCATATGCTTTCCTTGAGTTACTTGCTATCTGAAATTTTATGCTCTCCATCCTAAAAGCCTTGTCATTATAGAAGGTTGAGAAGTGGTACTTTTCTATTATCAGGTTAAGTAGGGACAGATACTTCTGAGTTTATTTCAGGATACAAACTTAATGGGGATAATCTTGAAGTGCTAAAGTAACCTTGCAAATTTTGTGCTATGATTACCGAAGAAGGAAAGATGAGCATTCACATTTCTCTCCCTTCCACACTAATCTTAGAGTAGGAAAAAACATGCCTTTGGTGTAGTCGTCTAGAGTCACATCACAAGTGCTTATTGGTGCCTTCTTTCTTAAAAAAAAAAAAAAAAAGAAATATCAAATTTAAGATTGGCTTTGGACTAGAATGAGGCGGAATGGAAAAAGAGGATTCTTATGGTCAACTGAAACTATTTTGGGGTCGACCTAAGTCCTTCACATTGTTGTTAAAGGCTCGCCTAGTAGGCGCTTAAGCCTAAATTAGGTATAACACAGGATGAACCCTTTGTCTCATATAGGCAGTGTTTCAGTGCATGGGCCACTGATATATGTCATGCACCTCATTGCACATGAGCTCTTAGATGTATTTTTTCAATTTTGTCCATAAAATTGTTGTTTGTGTTTGTAATTATTCTTCTAGTATTACATGTATATTTTACTATTCTCTTTTGTGCTTCACTTCATTAAAACCACTGCACTTTTTACGCTTTGCTTGAAGCTCCATTATACCTTTATGTTCTTCCTTTCATTTATCACGTTGATAACACTGCTAGTTTATTGATTAAACTGTAGGATTGGCTTAAACCTTTTGTATGAAAGCATTTACTGAGAGAGGAAACCCTTGTTTCATGTAGCTATTAGCCTTTCCTAATGTTGGCATGTACGCACTTAAGTTTGGTCTCCCTGTTAGTAAGCGGATTTATGGTTATTCTCAGAATTGTGTTACTCCATTTGATTTCAGCCTGATTGGTTTCTTATTATATTATGTAGGTCTACCTGGTGTTTTGTGGGTCTTGCCAGATTCATATCTGGATGTCCCCAACAAGGATTATGGAGGTTTGTTTGCTGGAAACCTGGGTTTTTGTGCCATTCTGATTCTTCTGTCACTTGTAGCATGCTTGTTAACTCATCACTTGTTTACTGTTTCCACTCATTGATGTTTAGGGGATCTGTTCGTAGACGGAAAAGTCATCCATAGGCCACAATATAGATTTAATCAAAATCAAGGTTCTAGACCCAGGCCTCGACCTCGTTATGACAGGCGCCGGGAGACGATGCAAGTAGAAAGAAGAGAACCGATACAAAGAGGAGCCTGGACACCCAATCAGCAACCTCCTGCACAACCAGTGTCAATCGAAGGCCAGAATTTCTCTCATGGAACTGGAGGAGGTCCAGCAGGATCTCAGGGAAACAGTGGTTGAAGCTTCTATGCCAATTGTTAAACGCTAAAATCTGTAGTAATGGGACTAGGCCTCATAAATTGTTCGTTTCATGAGTTCTGCACTGTGTTGTTCTGAACTTAGCGTAAGGGCAAATTTTCCAAATGATTGTAATGTGAATATTTTCCCTGTTCACATGAAGAGCATTAATATAGTAGGAGATGAATCTTCTTCTCTAATTTGGCTTTGGACAAGTGTTTGCAGATTTTAGTGTTGTAAAGTAGTAATTCAAAACGTTATCAATCCGGAAATCCCTTACTTCTGTGCAGTGGTAATTTGGGTTTTAAGATGTAGCCTAGTGGTGATTGAAGTAGGAGAACTATCAAGTTTAATTCCAGCGGAGGTAAATAGGTGAGGTGATTATTTCTCATCTGCACAAGTGGTTCAACAAAATTAGTGTTTTAAAGCCAAGCCTTGATTATAGGCCTTAAATTGTTTTTGAACAAAAACTTCGTATATTTTTTTATTTGAAGTTTATTTATCTAGCTTTTTGAAATGTAAAGTTAAGTAATAATTTTGTATATAATCATTTTCTTCTAATAAAATTTTTCAATTAATAATATGTATAGATAATTTATCTTGAGACATTGTTGATCTTAAGTAAGATTTTATCAATTCTAATTTTTTTTAAAATTCTTTTCGTATATGCAACTAGTATAAAAACTGTTAATATTATTCTATAAGCAATATATGTATTTGAAAAGGAATCAAGTCCTCTTATATGATTAAGTATCGAATTATCATTTAGAGTATTATCTTCTAACTATACTATTTTTCTTAACAGTTTTAATTTGAAAAATAAGTCTAAATCGTCAATATCAATTGACTATTATGTTTTAAGGAACTCACGAGGTTCTCGCAATATTTTGACCCCTAAATAGAAAATCAAAATTATTTTCATATGCTTCGAATTATTCAAATAATTAAAAGTTTCTTTTCATTTTATTAAAAAATATACTTTTTTACTTTAAAATACTTAATTTTTTGAAAAAAATAATAATTCATTAACCTACTACTAGCAAAAAATAAGACCTGCAAAATTATGGAGCCTAAAGCCTTTGCTTTACTTGTCTTACCCTAAGCCCGGTACTGTTCATCTACCTAAGTATTAATGGATTAAGTTACTCAATACATGTACCGATAAGACGTAATAGGTACCTGATTATATTATCGAAGGACGAACGCCACCATCATATTGTGTTATTAGAGGCACGCAAGTGCTATATTATCTTGTTTGGCTAAGCTTATGAGAAATTATATTATTAGAATATATTTTATAGAAAAAGGTACAAGTAGCTGAAATGTGCGCACGCACCTCCTCCTCTTGGCTTGTCGAGGGGCATCTCATCTTCTTACTTTTATTATTGAGCAAGAAACATGAGATTATATTTTTTTTCTCCCATGTTGTCCTTGTCAAGAGTTTTGACTGTGCAAGGTAGTGTCACAGGCATAAAAATCAAGGTATTTAAAACTTATTGTGAATTCAGACATTAATTTTTCTATTTATAAAAAAGTTATATATTGTTAACTACTGACAAGCTACAATAAATGACAATAATACCTAAATAAAAATATTCTCAAACTGACTCTTTGAGGCTCTCTATAAAAGCAATCCGACTCAGAAAAAGAACAATCCGTAATTGTGTTTAGAATAAGAGGGTAAAAATATTTAATTTTCGTCTCAATTCGGACATCAATTTCACAGATTATTAGAAAATAAAATTTATGTAGTTAAGTACTATGGATACAATCCTACAAATTAGGCCGCTTGTTTTTTAGTAACTGGTTTACTCTTATTTTCTGGTGACTAATAATTTGGTTGTAAGATATCTTGAAAGTTCTGGTTGGTTAAAATACTTTGGGGGTGGTTTTTTGCTTTTTCTTTTATTTTTGTTGTTTTTTGCCAACTAGTTTTGACAATTCATGACAGCAAAAATGTTCTAATTAATGAATAATGATTGATTAATGAGACGACTATGAGACTTATGGCGTCCTGTTGGATCTAAGATCAAAGATGATGGAGCAGAAAAAAAAATATAAAAATGGAAAAGAAGCACCATTATTTTACCTAATTTATTAACAATTTATTAATTATTTCATAACAAATTTGTATTGCAGAAAATAATCCAATAAACTAATAAACAATCATCTAATGATCATTTATCTAAACAAAAAAGGGGTTCATAGTCCAAGCAAGTTCTATCAGGTTAAATTATAATCCATCCGTTTCACTTTGTTTGACACTATTTTTTATTAATTCGTTCCAAAAGTATTATCACATTCCTATATTTCCTTAATGAGAAGTATTTATAATCAATAAATAAATTGACAGATTTAAAATTACAAGTTTAAAAAGATTTATAGCCATACAATGTTATGGCTCATTTAAGATCACACAGACAAACAAATTGAAACGAATGAAACAGTGAACAAAGAGTTATTTGTATTTGTATTGATGAAAGATGCAAGTAGATTGTGAGAAAAATGGGCATAAATGGTAAAATGATCGAAGAAAGCACAAACTTATTATTATTATTATTATTATTATTATTATTATTATTATTATTATTATTATTATTAATAATAATAATAAAATAATAAATAAATCAAACTGCTATATTACTTTGAGTAGGATCATTTCCCGAAATAATGTACGTATAACAAAAAAAAATTAATTATCAAATTACTCAAATAAATAAATAAGATTATCATATAATTTCTCAATCAAACAAAATAATATATCAAAAAATATCTTTTGAATTTCTCATATTTCTAATATTAAACTCTTCATTTGAAACGAAACCAATTTTGAGGAGACAGTCAAATGGTTAATAGGTCACAATTTGAAAAAGTATTACTCCTACAAAAACTTGATCCTTCGACTTGTTTATTATGAAAATAAAAAATTTTAAAACAAAATCTAAAATAACTCTCCGGGCAATATAAAATAATTAAATTCTGTGTTCCCTTAATTACCCAACATTATCGGGCATTTCCTCTTCTTCCATCTCCACCGTGTCGGTTCATTCTCCGATCTGAGCTCCGATTATCATATCGCCGGAGCTTCACGTTAGCATACAGCTGAATTATCATTGTTTATCTTATTTGTAATTTCGTTATCATTATCAGGTACGTTTCAAAAGTTAAATTCAGATCTCATTCTTTTTCATTATCATAGTTCCCGATCTGTAGAGTAAAAAAATATGAATTCAAATTATGGGAAATCAGGTAATAGTTTCGATTTTGATATGGGTTTGAACTCGGGTCGGTCTCGATCTAGTCTGAACGATCAGAAGAATAAAACGTCGTCGTATTCGTCATCATCATCATCATCATCCTATACATATTCATCAAAACCAAATTCTGGATCTTCATGGACTCAGCCCAACAAATCAACATGGACTCACCAACCAGTCGGGTCATTATCCGGCCCAAATTCAATGGTCGGTGACATATTTGGGAAGAGTTGGGGATCATCTTCTGCTGCTCCTTCAAGCACTAGCAATGTAACCCCAACTATTGGGATTGCTAACAAAAACCCTAATTTGTTTGGTGATTTGGTGAGCTCAGCATTAGGAGGAGGAAATAAGAGTAATAGCAATGTCCCTCTGAAAAGTGCTGCCCCAACTGCTAATAAGAGCACGTTCTCGATGGGTGGTATGGCTGATAATTTGCCGAAGAGTGGCAATTCCGCGAAAACTGGTAGTAGCTGGGGTAATGCTGGTGGTTATAATGCTAATAGTTATAGTGGCAGTGTGAATTTGAGTGGTGGTAATAGTAAAAGCCCTAATCTTGGAGGTCCGTCTTTGAAAAATATGGGCGGAAGTGGAGTTGGTGGAGGGATGGGTGTTAGTAAGGACCCATTTGGTTCGTTGGTTGATTTTTCGTCTAAGCCCGGCGGTTCTAATATGAAGTCGGGTAGTAAAGAAACTAATAAGAATAGTTCAGGGGATGATGTGTTTGGGGATTTCCAGAATGCTAAGAAAACAGGTGGGTCAGGATTTCAATCGGACCCGTTTCCAACAAATAATGTTAATGCTTCAACAGGGTCGAATTCAAGTGGCGCTTATTCCAAAGTCGATGATTTTGGATTCACTAATACTCAGAGTCAACCGTCTGCTACTCAGTCTTCAGGTGTTGGTGATTTTGGATTCACTAATACTCAGAGTCAACCATCTGCTACTCAGTCTTCGGGTGTTGGTGATTTTGATTCATTGTTCTCATCAACTACTGCTTCATCCGGGGGAGCCACTGGAGGGGGGAGTGGGAACCAGCAGTTTACAGGGGGTGATGATTGGGGGTTTGAATCGGAGTTTGTGGGTGCTGATGATAGCAGTGGGACAACTGAACTTGAAGGACTTCCACCACCACCTGCTGGTGTCAGTGCTTCCACGGCCAAGAACAAGGGAATGGATAATCACAAGCAGGGACAATATGCTGATGCCATAAAATGGTTGTCATGGGCAGTCATTCTTCTTGAGAAAGCTGGCGATGGGTCTGGTGCAATGGAGGTTCTATCAAGTAGGGCTTCATGTTACAAAGAAGTAGGAGAATACAAGAAGGCTGTGGCTGACTGTACGAAGGTATGATCATTAACTATGCTTTTTTAGTGGAGCTAAGACCTTTATGTTCTTTTAGATGTTAATTTATGGTCATTTATTTTAATGCGCTGTTGATGGTATTTTTTGGAAGTTTTTGCACCTCATTTTTTATAATACTACTTAGAAAAGTATTTACAGACTTCTGCTTGCACTGGAAGCTATAAAAAATAAGGTTCCCTGTAATCCTAGTTCCAGAAGAGTAGTGGCTCATTTACTCAATTTAACATGTAGGGGAAAGTGGTATATACTAAAAGTACTCATCAGTAGGTACATGCCCCATATTTTCTTTTGTAAAGCTGTGTACAACTTGACTGAATTTCAATGAAAGAAAAGGTGACAAACTGACATAAACAATGCTCCATTCCTATTTTGTACATTTCACACGCTCTTTTGATCTTTTGTGATATAATCTTGGCTCGTCGGGTATCTGCGTCGCACATGACATCTTATGACACTAATAAAGTTACAGCCATTATGTAGACGTGCTTCATGTCAGGGAAGGCAACAAAGTTCAGTTCATGAGACCGCAACGCAGCAGAGTGGAGCAGCCGCGACACAAAGTTCCTTACCGAGCCTGGCTAGGAGTAGAAATAGGTGCTAAG